AACCAGGGGTGAAAATTATGATGAAACAGAATATCCTACAAAAACGTATTTAAGGAGGCATAAATAGTATATACGTTTTTAAAATTTCTCCTATCTGAAAGGATGATGCACAAGGTGTTCATAAAATGCTGGTAAAATTTTAATATTTAAAAGAGCTTTGAATTTACACAGAATAGAAGAAAGCTATAAACAGATGAGACAACATTTCAGAAAGATTTTTAATAAATTAATTTATATATCTAGTTTTTAACATAAACACCGGCTTTTTACATCATTCAATCTAATTATCCATCTCACTGCAAGCATTCTCTACTTTTGATATTGAATGATTTTTGTGGGTCACTTATGTCAACCTGCACCGAAATTCACTTATTTATCCAACATTAGTTTGTCTATATATTCAAAGATTATAGCATAAGCTCACAAAAGGTGATGATAATAAGCATAGCAAAGCACTTTCCATTTGCAAAAGTGTTTTTGCATTCATGACTTCATTTGATTTTCACAACATTCCTTTGAGCTAAGGAAAGTCAGTATCTTTTTCTCCATTTTATAATTAAGAAATACATTCATATTAGTGATTTTCCAGTTAGTAAGTAGTATAATCTGATAATGTGGATATACACCCTGTTTTTCTCACTATATATATCATCTTCCTTTGGGAAAATGTAGGGACTGACAGGGCTTCTAAACTGGATCCTGTATGTTCACTTATTCAGTCATTCACCTACTAATGACCTCCCATTCTGAGCTAGGCATCTGATGGAGGTTGAGTTATGTGGCAGTCAACGTGAACAGGACAGATACTCTGCTGAAATGTATAGTCGCCGGGCATGGTGGCTCACGCCTGTAATCCCAGCACTTTGGGAGGCAGAGGCAGGTGGATCACCTGAGGTCGGGAGTTTGAGACCAGCCTGACCGACATGGAGACACCCCGTCTCTACTAAAAATACAAAATTAGCCTGGCATGGTGGTGCATGCCTGCAGCCCAGCTACTCGGGAGGCTGAGGCAGGAGAATCGCTTCAACCCAGGAGGTGGAGGTTGTGGTGAGCCGAGATCGCGCCACTGCACTCCAGTCTGGGCAACAAGAGCGAAACTCTGTCTCAAAAAAAAAAAAAAAAAGTATAGTCTAGTTAAGAGGCATACCTTCCAAAATCACATTTGTATATTAATAATTATAAGTGTTATGAAGCAGAAAGCAGGATGCAATGAGAAAGAATAAAGAAAAAAGGGACAAATGGAATTAATTTGGATAGAGATTAGATAAATTCTCTTTGAGAAGATACATTTTGAGACTTGAGATGAGAAATAGCATGTGCCAAAACAAGGATAAGATGAGCATTGCTCAAGATCTTTTCAAAAACTGAATAAAGGGACAGAGAGAATTGCTTTTTTCTGAATCGATATATTATTTAAAATAGCTGAGAAGCCATTTCATAACATTTATTTTTTTCAAGAAATAGTTTCTGTGCAACTCACATAAAATGCCCAGCATTAAGTGATCTTAAAGGTAACAGACACAACTGGCCTGTGTTGTGTGACATACTCAGCATGCACTACATATGAATTACTTCAATGGATATAAAACATACTGAAACTATTTAAAAAAATGTAATGTTAATTTGTCTCCAGCATGTGCATGTCCAGAGCTGTAAAATTACAGAATTTCATATGACTATTACAGCACTAGACAAGTCTGGGTATAAACTACAAATTTCAACAAACATGTAAAATTAGGTGGTCATTTATCCGACAGTTGTTAAAGGCGCACTGTACTGACTCCACTATTAGTAATATGGCTGAGGTTCTTGTGGAATATCTATAACTCTCTCAGTTCCACAGTTAGAACCAGGCCTGTAGAAGCAATTTTAAGTATGAGCTTTAAAATGAGAGAACACATTGAAGCTGCTTCAGGCAAAGGCTCTAATTTTACTTAGTTTTTATTTCCTCATTAGACTAATGGCAATGGAATTAAAGAACTTTCTACATGTGTGGTTATTGGAAGCAAATAAAGGCAGAAGGGGGTCTGGTCTACGCTGCCACAGAGTACCCTCATGTTTAATTTCAATGTCATATTGGAAGTCAAATGACAATTTTTTTACCTCAGATTTGGCCAGAGATGTACTGATGATAATTAATTATCAGCTTAATATTTATTTCAAAATGCTGATATTGTAAAAGGTAGTAGCATCATATAAAATGATCTTCTGAGCTAGTTCAAAAAAGACTCAAGCTATGTCTGAATACACAAGAGAAAATAGTTGTGCTCCAATCCTTCCCTAACAAGAATAGGACAATACCACTTTCGTTTTATCTGAGAGAAGCACTAGTATAAATCACACCCAGAGGAACAATTTGTTTCTTCATCAGAAGGGAAAAGGAAGATGTCTTAGAGCAAAGGAGAAAGAGTCATGAAACATTAAACCTAAGCACATATGCTAAAATATGTATATATATTTTTTATGTTAAAAGATGAACAGTAATCCTCATTTTAACTATAGATACTAAAATTCAGAAAGCCAGCAGTGTCAGGACAAGAGGCCAAAAGAGCTTTGGACACAAATGATGAAAATTCACTGGTGACTCACTGTTGTCTGTCTATGGGATTGTGACAGAGGACGTGTTAAGAGGGCAGTAAAAATTGCGGAGGAGTCACACTCTTTTAAACGATATGTCTTTTGCAACATTTTCTTCTGATAATATTCCTTGCTTTCTTGATTGCTTATTGTCGACGTTTGTTAATCAGTTTCAATAGAATGCAATTTTATATTAAAGGACATGGAAATGGCTATAGGTCTCTTCATCATAATTTTCTATCCTATCAGTAGATGATGTGTGTGAATTCAGTACAGTTTATCAATGACACGAAAAAGTATCAAAGGTAAATGTGTACTAAACAACCATCAGTCTTGTATAAGAAGTTACTACCCAGACTCACAGGGAAGACAAAAGAGTTTGAGTTTGGAGTCATGGCTACGTTGTTGCCAGAGCCTGGCCAACTTTCAGGGGTAATTTTCTGTTAAGTCAACAAACTCCATAAAGGGAAACTGCCCTAAAATGTCACAAAGTGATGACCACAAAATTATCATCCCATGTTTTCTTCTCTTTCTTAAGCCTTGAGTTATAAGATTATAAACTTTGGACTCCCACCAGTATCAAAATCTACAACTTCTCAACACCAGCAAAATAATTCCCCTTGTCTTCTTTCTTTTGACTATCCCAACAGTCCTTCAAACTGGCTGTATTGGGTTTTCCAGAGAAATAGAACAAATAAGATGTGTGTGTTTATACATATCTATATCTATATATTTATATCTATCTATCTATCTATCTATCTATCTATCTATCTATCTATCTACCAATTGATCTATCTATAGGAAAAGAGAGATTTTCAAGAATTGCCTCATGCAATTGTGGGAATAGCAAGTCCAAAATCCACAGGGCTGGCCTGAAGGCTGGAGACTCAGGCAAGATATGATACTGCAGCTCAAGCCTGAAGTCAGTCTGAAGAAAGAATTCCCTCTACCTTGGAGGATCTCAACTGTTTTATTTTTCTTAAGGCCTTTAAATTGATTGGACGAGGCCCACCCACCTTATGTAAACTAATTTGCTTTACTCAATGTCTACTTATTTAAATGTTAATCTAATCTAAAAAATACTCCCACAGAAACATCTAGAATATAGTTGACCCTTGAAAAACATAGGTTTGAACTGTGAGGGCCCACTTGTACGTGGACTTTCTTCTGCCTCTATCACTCCTGAGACACAAAACTCATATCCTCTTTTTTCTTCCCCTTCTCAGCCTGCTCAATATAAAGACAAGGGTGAAGATTTTATAATAATCCATTTCTATTTAATGAATATTAAATACATTTTCTCTTATGATTTTCTTGGTTATGTTTTCTTTTCTCTGACTTACTTTATTGTAAGAATACAGTAGATAATACATGTAACATACAAAATATGTGTTAGTTGACTATTTATATTATAGGTAAGGCTTCCAGTCAACCATAGGCTATTAGTTACGTTTTGCGGGAGTAAAAAGTAATACACAGATATTTGGCTGTGCAAAGGGGTGGTGTCCCAAGTCGCTGTGTTATTCATGAATCAATTATAAGGTCTGACAAAGTATCTGGTGTATTAGTCTGTTCTCACATTGCTAATAAAGACATATTCAAGACTGGGTAATTTATAAACGACAGAGGTTTAACTGACTCACAGTTCAGCATGGCGGGGGAGGCCTCAGGAAATCATGGTGAAAGGGGAAGTAAATACATTCTTCTTCACGTGGCAGCAGCAAAGAGAAGTTCTGAGCAAAAGGAGGGAAAGTCCCTTATAAAACCATCAGATCAGATGAGAACTCATTACCACGAGAGCAGCAGCATAGGGGTAACTGCCCCATGATTCAATTACTTCCCACCAGGTCCCTGCCTGGACACCTGGAGATTATAGAAACTACAATTCAAGATGAGACCTGGGTGGGGACACAGTCAACCTATATCATTCAGGTATTGTAGACCAGTCACATTTTCACATAAAGCTAATCACTACATTGACTTTCTTAAAAAAAAAAAAGAAAAAAAAAAGATAAAAAAGATGCTTAGGGGTCTTTACTGTGTTTTGCTGGAGCAGAGTATGAAAAGTTTCACATCCATTTTATTTTTGGTCCTCTTTTTTTCTTTTATTGCAAACTTTTGAAGATACCAGAACTTCTATAAATATCAAAAACCAGAAAATAAACAGTGTAGTTATAGGTTCAATTGATGATACTGACTAGTGTGACTTGGCTGTCAAATGCACACTCTTGTCGATAACATAATTATTTAAAATATATTTGGACAATGAAATATTACTTTAAGTATAATCACGTTCTGCCCTATAGTAGGTTTTATAGACACAGTTATAACAGTTATTTCTTCAAATTCACCATATTTTACTAATATAATCTGCAATATAGATTAGTAGTTGACATATAATATATCATTGGAAGAATAAGCCCTTGAACTTATAATTTTACTTTTATTAGTTTGTAGCCTTGAAACTTCAGAGACGTTAATAATCAAAATCTCCAGCACTTGGACAGGTAATCAATTGGTTACTTTTCTCAGTTGTTTGCTTTACTCTGGGTACCAAATGGAAAAAGTAATCAACAAATAATCATTAAGTACTCTTTGACCATGGTAGTGTAATGACATGTTGCTTGTTGAGAAAATCTTCCTCCTCATCATCTGTACTGCTCTCAGAAAGTGACAGCAAAGACTGAATTTCGGTATCTCTTCCAGAACAGCTGAAAATACATAACAAGATCAATACACAATATACAGAACCAGGTTTCAACTCTTCATTTATCTTCTGATCAATACTACATATGTTGGAGTTGCTGGAGGCAAGCGGATGTGAGGGGGCTGTATCAGACTGGGACCATAATTTTCAGTGTGCCCAATATAGCAAGCCTCCTTTTAATGAGAAATTCTCATCATTCTCCCTCTCCCAAGAAATAAAGCCACAGTGGAAGGAAGGAGAGAGTTTATGGTCTCTGACTGTGTCTTTGTTGATGATTCAGAGGCACTTTAGAAACCTGCAGAGCCTCAGGGTCATCATTAAGAACATTAATCATCACATTGGCTGTTTAAAAGAATCGGGGTGAATAGACTGCCAGATAAATCACCTCTTTTGTGTACTATGAATTAGGACTATGTAGATAGCCAGTCAAGATATGCCAAAGCAAAAATTAATGACAGCATTTGTTTGTTATTTTATTTTGTTGCATTTTATTGGTGGCAGCAGGGGACACTGATGGAAGCTGTAACACCTGAGTATTTAAGGTTTGGGAACAAAGGTAGGGTGGGGAGCAGATAAAAGTGTACACAATTAGGATTTTTTTGTCCTAAATAATCTAGATTCTCAACCTATATATGCTGCTAAATAATATAAAATACTTCACTCTGTGATGGATGTAACTGTTCATTGGACTACTTTTTACGCTCAGCACATGCTAAATGAGCAGCTTATAAACCACGGTCTGTGGAACAATGAAAATCTCATTGTGATTACAATTTTCACTGGTCCAAGAAAAAAGAGCTAGTGACTGTTTCATGAGGTTTTTAATTTTAAAGAAATGTGCTTTAGATGAGTTCATGTCCTTTGTAGGGACATGGATGAAGCTGGAAACTATCATTCTCAGCAAACTACCGCAAGAACAGAAAACCAAACACTGCATGTTCTCACTCATAGGTGGGAACTGAACAATGAGAACACTTGGACACAGGAAGGGAAACATCACACACCGGGGCATGTTGTGGGGTGGGGGCAAGGTGGATGGATAGCATTAGGGGATATACCTAATGTAAATGATGAGTTAATGGGTGCAGCACACCAACATGGCACATGTATACATATGTAACAAACCTGCACGTTGTGCACATGTACCCTAGAACTTAAAGTACAATAAAAAAGAAAAAAAATTAAAAAAAATCAAAAACAAAAACAAAAAAGAAATGTGCTTTATTCTGTTAGTAAGGTCCCCTTATATTTTTAGTATTGAATGTCATTTGTTTTATAAGTGATGAGAATACTTGTAGGTTTAGTTTGTTTTTAATGATTTATCTAAGGGAAGAAAATATCAATCTTATATTGATCCTTTAAAAAATATATAAATGATAATAGAAATGCAAAAATCCAGGCTCAGTGCGGTGGCCTGAGTAGTCCCAGCTATTTAAGTGGCTGAAGCAGGAGGATAGTCTGAACCCAGGAGTTTGAAACCTACCTAGGCAACATGTTGAGACCCTGTCTTAAAAAAAAATGTTTTAGAAGAGAAAGAAATGCAAAAACCAACACAAATAGCTCAATGATTTCCTCCTCCAGAAAGAATAAGAAACCCTTGATTCCCTTTTTACTACAATTTCAGATTTCAATTAAATTTCAATCAAAGAAATTTACAATACAAATAACTTATTTTATGCTTGTTTTAGTCTTTCTAAAAGAAATCCTGCTCCTTCTTCAAGGAATTGCAGTGTCAATAATAGACTGAAACAATAGACTACTGTTTTGAAACATTTACTAGTTAGTGTAACGTACATTCCTTATAAGCCTATCCAACCATCCCTAAAGTCCCTAAATGTATTTTATGTGAGGAAAGAATGATATGATACAAATTAAAATGTTATTGTTAATTATCTAGATTTGATTTCGAGAAAGAAACTTACTATTTGATTCTAAAAACCTTATTCACATTGGGTAGGATTCTATTAATGCAAAGTATTGAAACGTATTAGGTTAATTAATTCAAGTAAGGCAATTGTTTTTCAATATAATAAGAAATGCTGAAGGATTATTATATTCCAAATATCTTTTCATTTTTATGATACATATTGTGCAGTAGAGAACGATCTCTTCACATTAAGGTAACAACTTTATAAGCCTTTTACTAAATCTTGATAATAGATCAGCAAAGAACCCAAACATTCTATAAAGAATGGTCATATGAAGTACACACACGAGGACAGTCTTTCTATATATAATAAAGATAACTAGTTGGAGCTTGTCAAAATTTTACTACATACTATATTAATATATAAACAGCAGGCTTAACTTACCTCAATTCCTCAACTCCACAGGGACCCCTCACATGTGAGGTCTTAAGGAAATCTGTGGAAGTCTGACTTATATTCAGTAATTGGCTGCTGAAATCTGGGAACTCTTCTGAGGTTAAGCTATAAAGCTTTTCTGAAGTATCTGAAACATTTTATTTCATGCATTGTCAAAACATAAATTCAAGAAACAAATATACAGCATACGGTGCTGAATGTTTACACGGAGTAAATTACAGGCAATAAAAAGAGGGTCAGCATAGATTTTTAATTATTCCTCAATTTTCTGATGTTTGTGGGATAAGTTTAATTTGAAATTCCAAATTGGGGCATGGGTAGCAAGTCATTTTTATCATATTGATTTTAAAATACACATTACATTTACAACTGTGTCAAATGTCCTGATACCTCATAAAATTTCAAAAAAAAAAAAAAAGTGACCCCCTAGAATATTTTGCAACTCGTCAACCTGTTGGACATTTTATTATCTTTTTTCTTATAAGAAATAAAAGCTTTACTCCCACACAGTCTAAGGGAAAGATTAGCTGTGGCAAAGTTGCTCTTTCTTTTTTGACTTCCTTGCTTTGTTCGAGTAGATAATAACTGTTCATATTTGAAAGCAGAGAAGCTTTAAATTTTTCTTTTCATGAAGCTGGCTTATGATTTAGCCTAGCTAAGGACAAATACTGCAAGTTAAATAAACAAAATCTTTGGGCAAATATATCTTCATATAAACCACCAAAAATTCAAGTATGTAACTAAATATCATTGTATATTAGAAGGGCTATAATGCTTTCTTTTTCACTGCTGAAATTGTAATGAGCCATCTAACTTATACATAAAGTTATACTATGATGACTATTAAAACTGTCAAAATTGGCCGGGCGCAGTGGCTCAAGCCTGTAATCCCAGCACTTTGGGAGGCCGAGACGGGCGGATCACGAGGTCAGGAGATCAAGACCATCCTGGCCACACGAACACCAACATCAATATCTGGTTTTTGTGGCGGGCGCCTGTAGTCCCAGCTACTCGGGAGGCTGAGGCAGGAGAATGGCGTGAACCCGGGAGGCGGAGCTTGCAGTGAGCTGAGATCCGGCCACTGCACTCCAGCCTGGGCGACAGAGCGAGACTCCGTCTCAAAAAAAAAAAAAAAAAAAAAAAAACTGTCAAAATTACTGGTTGCTATTCTTCCCTTCCTTTTTTTCTTTTTTCTATTTATTTATTTATTTATTTATTTATTTATTTTTGAGACGGAATTTCACTCCTGTTGCCCAGACTGGAGTGCAATGGCGTGATCCTGGCTCACCGCAACCTCCGCTTCCCAGGTTCAAACGATTCTCCTGCCTCAGCCTCCCGAGTAGCTGGGATTACAGGCATGTGCCACCACAGCCAGCTAATTTTGCATTTTTAGTAGAGACAGGGTTTCTCCATGTTAGTAAGGCGGCTCTTGAACTCCTGACCTCGTGATCCGCCCACCTCCGCCTCTCAAAGCCCTTTACTTTTATGAGAGGACAAATAAACATCCTCCTGGTCACAAGAACCAAACATCAACACACATGTGTTCTACAGTGGACTTTTTTTTTGGTGATTAGTATCAACTTGACATTTTTGAGCAAATAGAGATTTCCCTACTGAAAGTAAATCAGATTATTCCCTCTGAAAAACAGACCTCAATGAATTTACACATGGAAGTGTCCCTAAAATTGTTTAGCCCAGTGACTTTGAAATCATGATGCATGGGTACATTCAATAAGCTTAGGATTTGGTTCCTGCTCTCACCATATCCTCAACAATCAGGACTTTACCTGATCTAAATTTAGGGGTTCTATATAAGATTAATTTTGAAAAAGACAAAAGATTTTTTAGTTAAAAATTTTTAAACCTCCTAATTACTTCCATCTTCACTTAGAGATCAGGGAATTGGGGGCCCATGGAGAACTGATAACTTGCTGAAAGTTACACGGCCATATAGTGGAAGGGCTGAAACTAGAACTGATCTCTGGCAGCTCACCAATATTGTAAATCACTCTGTTCCAGAATCTAATTCTTTAGCTTTAAGCTATTATCTTCTCTCCTATTTTTCCATAAGGTAAAAGAAGACCCAAGGCACCTTTACATGCCCTAACGAAAGGAAATGCTCCCACAAGAAAGCAATAAATTCAGGATTTGGAATTGGTAGAATTATAGAACTAAAACCCAGTACTAATGCTTTGATCTAAAGAATACCACCAGGTGAGATATCCAAATTCTTATGACTCATTTGAGCTAATTGAATGAGCATAAAGCTAATTCAAATTGTGCAAATAGAATGAGTCTATTTTTCTAGAACTATTTATTCTCAAAATTATATTTCAGAATACCTGTAAAGTTAACAGGAACAAAGGTAATACCGCTTGATTTTAGGTAACAGAAAATCAAGGCAGAGAAAAATAAAACTACTCATAACAACCCCATTGTAGTTTAGTGTTAAACCCAAAAGTTCAATTGTACAAAAATCTGTCACCTGATTTTTCTAATACAGGACCTGATAAGACAGGATTAACATTTGTATTAAAACATTTACAACTGGCAAGTCAGTTGTTGAGAAATGAATTATAGTTAAACCTTTTTTATCCCTGGAGTAAGAGTACCTTCTCTGATCATGGAGGAATCTCTTTAAAAACAATAATAAACAATTAGACTAAGGAGAAAAAATGGTTAAAATATAGAGTTCTAAGGTACATTTCTAAAACTGAAGTCATTTAAAACACATGCATAAAACTATATTCCATAGAGAAATAAGCACTTATTTAAATAAATGAAAGAAAACACTAAAGAAAGAAATATAAAAACTTCAAAGAATGAGAACAGATCAGAGAGGCTATTTCCCAGCAAGGAAAAACAACAACTCTAAAGGACTATCTAGAATAGCTACATATCTACATCCTAATATTAAAGACAGTGTGACATCCACTTTTTAACCTGTGAGCCCTATTCCTAATACTGCAGCCTCCTTATTTTTCATTCTTTCCATCTCCTCTCCCCTCTGCACTATGCCTTGCTTATTTCTCCTTTTCCTATTCTCTCCATGCTTGCATTCCTTTACCTTCACTCTGCCCACACTCTCCCCTTCTTAAGTGGTGATATGGTTTGGATTTCTGTTCCCACCCAAATCTTATGTCCAATTGTAAACCCTAATGTTGGAAGAAGGGTCTGATGAATGTTGACATTATCATGGGAGAAGATTTCCCCCTTGCTGTTCTCATAATAGAGAGTTCTTATGAAACCTGGTTGTTTAAAAGTGTGTAGCACCTCTCACCCACCCCTTCCTCCTGCTCTGGCCATGTGAAGATGTGCCTGCTTCTCCTTCTGCCAAGATTATAAGTTTCCTGAGACCTCCCCAGCCATGCTTCCTGTACACCCTGCAATTAAACCTCTTTTTTAAATATATAAATTACCCAATCTCAGGTATTTCCAATGGCAGTGTGAGAATTGACTATTACAAGTGATCACAAAATTGATTCGAAGTAAAGGTTTCAAATTATTTACGTGGCATTGTTATACTGTGGCAAGACAAAGAAATGTGGGGGTAGCTTTGCCTGGGGTTGTGCCTTGCCTCTGCTATACATCCAGGGGAGACCATGAGCAATTACTGCATTGCCCAGAGCCTCAGTTATTGAATATGAAGAAAGGAAATTAAAAGTAGCATCTGCCCCATCTACTTTACCAAATAGCTGTTAAGATCGAATGGAGCAACATCACATATAAAAGCAACCAGTAATTATTATTACTGATTAAATGGTGTCATATTATTCCTTTTATTAACTTTTAAATATGTTTTCACTTCTATGTGCACCCAATTTGTTTTCAGAAATTTAAAGACACACTAAAGCAAAAAGACTGTCATTCTGTCTCTTTGTAATTTGGCTGCCTTTTCGAGGGTTATCTAGTTAATTTGTGAACAATAAATCCTGACTAGATTAGCACTTTTACAGTTTAATACACTACTTAATGGTCACCTATGAACAGAGGCTCCAGTTACTCAGAAAGCCACTGCCTCATTGTTTTATTTCACTGACAGTCTGGCCTATGGTCTAGTATCTGGTATATTTTTTATTATTTCTTATATAAGAAAAAGTGCTTTCATCTGTTTAATTACTTGCTCAGTTAATTACCTGTGAAATCATACAAACACAAGATTGTTGTGGGAACTTAAGGACTACAAAGATTCTTAAACCACAAATCAGACTGAGCTTGAAACAAATAAATCGTTTTTAACTATTGAAGAAGTAAATGCTTTAAAGTGCATTATCCCTAATACTTTTTCACAATGCATATTTCCTATCTTTCTTCAGGCTGCAGTAACATCCAGAAACTGACAAAGTGTCTTTATAAGTAAGTTATACCGATATGTTAAGTTCATTGAGGAAGTGGTTATATTGTTACTTATATAAAACTATTTGTGCAAGGAATAATAAGTGGCATGAACTACAACTAACTATAATCCTCAAAGCAGTACAGATGATAACTAGTTTTAGAATGGAAACAGCTTTTAGAGTTTATTAAAAATTGGGTTTACCAAGGACATCGTAACTTACAGTACGTAGGAAGTGATACGGAAGTGGGGCAGGGAAGTGCTGGGTAGAGAAAGGCAGGTTCCTGGCTAAGACTACACCACAGACTGAGGTGAGAACAGGCACTCCTGCTTTTGTGCACAAATGTTGCATTTTCCAAGACCACCCTGGCCTACCACACCCCCATCCTGGGCCTATGAAAACCTGAGACGCTAGCAGGCAGACACACAAGTGGCCGGAGGCTGAGAGGAGCACATCAGTGGAAGAAGACACAAGTGGCTGGACGGCAAGAGGACATCAAGGGGTCACGCTGGCAAAAGAGCACACTGACAGACTCTGGCACACTGGCAGCCCATCAACCAGCAGGTTGAGGCGGAGTTTGGCTAGGGTAGTCAGAGGAGAGCTGGGGCCACCAAACAGCCCAACTCTAGGGGAAAACCATCTCCCTTCTCGCTTCCCCATCAGTGGAGAGCTACTTCCACTCAATAAAACTTTGCACTCATTCTCCAAGACCACAGGTGATCCAATTCTTCCGGTACACCAAGGCAAGAACCTGGGCTACAGAAAGTCCTCCATCCTTATGACAATCTAG